TAAGAGAAGCATGAATGAAAATAAAACAGACCTGGAGGGCTTGGGAGAACCTACTGCGTTTGCGAAGGTCGCGAATGACGCGTTGAAGTTCTGCGACTCGGACCTTGTTCCCCTTGTACATCCAATCGTCGAGCACCGGAACCACACTGGTGTTGGGATTTCCGAGGGGACTGATTTTTGAGTACAGGCTAGGTTTATTTGTCCTGCTCGTGTAGTATGATCTGCATGTGATTGCGATTCTGCGAAGAATCATCTCTTCAATGCCTTTGCTAGGGTTTCTCTCTTTCTTTCTCTACTGCGCAGTACAACGAGGTTATTGTTTCCTCGGCTGAGAAAGGTTGTAGGGTTTCAGCTTATCTTCCTTTGGTGCCCACAGAAAAGATCGCCAAAGTCTTCAATGGAAATTAATCTGCCTTTGTTATTGTTCTTTTTTTTTTACAAAGTTGCTGCTCAGTCTAAAATTTATTTGTTTAAAGGAATTAGAGATAAATATGGGTAGATTTAAAGTAAAATATTGTGGATTAAAAATTGGGGAATGAAAAATATTTAAAAATTGGCAACTCTATTATTATAAACATAAATTTAGTCTATAAAATAAAAGAAAGAAAAAAAACATTTTTCAATTGATCTAATAACGTTTGATGTTCTTGAACATTTGAGAATGTTGAAGAACAGAAATCAAATAGTTATCAACAGGTGTGGCCCTTCACAGAAAAAATGCTGTTCATCGGTGTCAGAATTATGAACTGTATCATGGTTCAAGTAGTATGGTTGTGCAGCTCTTCTCCATTTTCTCCCTGTATTGAGACTTATATATAACCGTAAATACCTAGTAGGAAAGAACAAAACTAAGGACTTATAACATGAATTATTTGTCAATGACTATTACAAAATTATTTGAAATATACTGTACCACCCACTTTTTCAAAATTGGCTTTTGGAAAGTCCCTTCAGGATAAGAACTTAATTATCAACTACTTTTATTGTATTATATATATATATATAGCTGCATGTAAATTATTATAAAACAATAATTAGAAAAAGGTAGTTGTTATAAGGCAAAGAAAACAAAAACAAGAATAACATATTTGTAGAATTAGAAACTGTATTATCATCTAAGACAAACATAATCTCTTGATTGATACTAATGAATTTATAATAGTAATACAAAATTTTCCCTTCATTCTTTTTTTTATATGACACCATTCAACATCAGGCTGAAATAGAATAAACCTGTATGTCAGAACATCACAATGTAGCCACATTTTTTTCCTCTTTCTAAGATCTTGTGGCATACCAAATAGGGTAGAAAAGTCACAGGAAAAAAATAACCAATGCCTTACATTTTACGCCAAATTCATATTCAAACACATTTCTTAATTTTGAACTCCTCACTTTCTCTCATCACGTAACAAACAGAAACATTGAATATAATTTCAGATTTCAGAACAGACATTTGTATGTGTAGGCCCTGCACTACCACCTCAAAAGCAACGCTGATGAGAAGAGTATCCATGAAATACCACTTTATGTTAACCTTCAATATCAGCCAAACCAATCACCATTCCAACACATCCAATGTTAAATTTAAACATAAAACACAATGTCACATAAAATCATGAAACACATTAAACATTAAAAGACACAAACCTTAAATTACCTATGGAGAAGTAGCTGTTATATGTTGAAGAAAATCTGGCTGAGTTGTTTAGCAGTAAAAGGATTTTGAATTCAATAATCTGCCATTGAATACAAATTTATTAGTGTCGGTTTTGGCTTGGCAGATATGATCGTAACTGAAAGGACAAGGACAATTAGAAACCTCTGGAGCAAGCTTTTTGAGGTGGACTAGTAATGTCAGAAATCAATGACATTTGAAAACAGGGCACCAATTGCTATACTGTAGTAATCTGCTTCACTGTATAAAGAAATAAAAGAATGCTATATATTAAGAAAGAAATGAGAATTATCACTAACCATACCTATCAATGTCATAAAGAATAATGACACTCAGTGGTGGCTTACACGGATCTTTGTCAAAAAAAAATAGAAGCCTTGGGATTTGTACGATACAGGAAACCAGCAAGGAAAATACAAAATTATTGAGGGCACAGAATCTCTGTGATTGCAAATGAACAAAACATAAAATAAAAAATGTTCTAAAAGTTTAAAGCATATGTGTAGTTCAGACATGTGATCTTACAAATAATCTCTTACAGTTAAATTTATAATAATTCCTCAAAGTTTCTAGTTTGTTCTTTTTTAAAAAAATATGGCGTGTATTGAGACTGTACAGCCAAAAATTGATCGCTGACAGAATGAGTGGATCCAACAAAGTCATAAAGTGAGAGTTATGACATACGAAATAAAAGTGCAGTGAGGCCATAATGGAGTAACATTTTTCTCTCTAGGAATTTCCTGATAAAGAGCAGTAGCACAGAAAAAGGAACAAGAAAAAGAAGATTAAGCAATTCCCCAATGTTCACGCAAACCCCACATTCAAATTCCCTGCTCCATTCTCTTTCTCACATTGCACAACATATGGGGGCTGTGGTATCAAAATTTCAGATTTTAGAAACATAACCGAAGACAAATAGGAAGCAAAAAGCAGGTGTAGGCCCTGCAACACCAGCTCAAAAGCAATGCTGATTAGAAGAGTATCCATCATCTCCCTACTCTTTCTCTCTCTTTGCTACCTCTTTACATTAACCTTAACATTTTCATTCCTGTCTCCCTCTTCAGTCTCCATGGCTCCACCACTTTGTCTTTTGACCAAACTCCCTTTTCTCTGGGCAATTCCATCCCAATATTGCTGCTGTTCACACTGCAGACTTTGCCTCACCTGTGCTTCGTAATGGTAGACCTCACACACTACTTGGATTCCTGAACATGCCCATGTGTGCTCGTCTCATGCACCTATATGAGCCTTATTTGTTTTCTTGCACCTATATGCCTTTAAGAGTTCTTGAAACATTCACCCTCTTAAGGATTTAACTTCGTCCTCTTTCTATTTTTCTAGCTAGCATGTTTCCTCAAAATAATTTGTCTACATATACTCCTTTGCCAACCTTTCCAACAGTCCCCTCTAGCAGCTATTTGCTCTTTGCATCTCCTCTCTGCTAGAAAAAATAACAAAAATTGAAATATTGGCTTTTTGTGCGGTTGAAGGTCGCGTGTTGTTCATCAAAATGTTGAGAAAAAGTAAGAGAGTAAGCTTCAGTCCTGATGTCAATGAGAAACCAACCATGTTTCTCAAACATAGCGTATTAGGAAACAGGAAGAGGGTCATTGGAAGTTGGAGTTTCTCAAGAATGTCCAAAGACCCTTTATTGTCACCTGTGAGATTCCTACTACGACTTGGAGAAAAGGTAGCAAATTCCATTAGAGTTGTTTCTTTGAGAAGGAGATCCTCCAGAAAGGTTTCTTCATCCACTTTGGTAAGGTCGCGTTCACTATCCGACCCTAACGACTCATCCTATCGTGCTAAGGCTGTAGAAGATTGCATTCAATTTTTACATTCTTCCTCTTCCAGGGAGAGACCAAGTTGAGTCTCTCCATTCAAATCACGGTTTGGAAAGTCTTCTCAAGGCTTCTGTTGCATGCAAGAGATGTATCGTGTATGTATATTAAAAGGGATATGCTTTCTTGATTTCACGTGTCATGTTCATTGGTTCAAAATTAGAGGTCAATCCTTTTCATGTCTCATTAGCAGCGCAGTTTGAGCAAAGACATTTGCATAAAACATCGGTTCAAATCAAAGTTTGAATTGCGGACTGTACAAGTCTTTTCTGTTTACTGGAATACATTAACGTTTTTATCAGTTATAATTTATTTCTTCACCATTATAATGAAAACATTTTCTTAACCATGATATTGGATATTTCCCTTAGAATAGTTTATTACCGAATCTAAATATTGCAGTGGTCTGTTCTTTTTTGTCCTTACTCAAATAAATGATTGGTTCTTCCCAAAATTGAACGAGCTTCTCGATTTTAACTTGGTCTTGCTCCAAACATTAAAATTTGAATTATGCATCAATCAATTTCTTGCATTGTGTTTTTCTATATCTGATAAAAACGATGGTTTTTATGGAAATAGAAAAAGCACCCAGTAAAGAAAAAAGACAAACTCCAGACCGACTTGACTGGACTGTTACAGTTAACCTAAAATTATCGATAATAAATTTTAATATATCTGCCGAGACGTTTCTCTTTCTATTTATGTAATATACGTTTTGTATTTAATTGAAATCATTATATCAAAAATTATTTTGGAGATATAATTACTTTATGACATTATCTTATCTTGCACCCCTCTATTATTTGCATGAGAAATTTTGTATAAATAACACTTTATTAATTAATTACAATAGACCCCACAGCCCAAAGACAGGAGCTTCCACTTTCTAGGCTTCTGTTGTATAACACACTTGAAAAGGAAAGCAATTGTAACCATACGCTGAAAAATCTATGAATATCCCAATCTATCAACTTTCAACCATGCTTTGACCAGAGCACTACAAAATCACCCCACACTGTCCAATGAATCCATCCAAATTCTATGCATTGCAAGTCATGCTAATAATTGTTCTTAAGCATGAAAATGAGCTTAGATAAATAATTTACAAATAGCGGCAACGTATTAATATCAACCATTGGATAAATTAAATATGTAATGATTACACCAAGAGCACGCAAAGTTCGATTGCTCCTGTGCACTGGCAGGGTCAAGTGCGATGTGCATTCCCCTCTGGAAAAGACAACAAAAAGAATTGAGCAAACAAGTGCTTGCTACCGACATCTTGTTTATCTTGTCTCGTTGCCTTGTTTTTGTTGAAATTTGCTGATTTAAAGCAACATCCTAACATCGTCAACATCAGCCAGTGAAAAGTTTTACATGTTTGGATGGTTTTTACTTAGAATTATCTGTATTCATTTCAAAATTGTTACAACAAAAGACTAGTCAGGCATGCAATGATGGTACAAGAGAAAAGAAAGTGCTAAAGTTCACACGTACGTTAATAATTTATAATCGAAAAACACAGTTCTAAATGACATTATGAATAATCAGTGTAGCACGATCAAGAATCCAACGAGAGGTTTTCAGGTTCTCGAACTCCTTGATTGGAGGCCTTTTTTAGCTCCAGAGCTCTCTTGTAAGGTGGAGCAATTGGGGGTTGTACAGGATCCAAGCTCTGATATGTCCCCCCATCAACTTTAGGTAATGGATATGAGCGATCAGAATCATAACCTCTGAGGTCGCCACAAGCTAGAAATGGGATATACACCTTATTAGGGCCTTCCAACCATCCACTACAACAATCTGAAAAACCACATGCATCAGTTACTGGAGACCAAAGCCATGAAAAATAAGGTCTCCTGGTGATACAATGAAAACAACAAAAGATATTTCTCAGAGTCATTATTATTTTAGTATACAGTATTCAGGATTAACTTTATGAGGCTGAATTTAATAGTCTATAATTGCATACAAGATTTACTATAAGGACGAACATATACCTGTATCATCTACCCCCGAGGGACTTCCAACCTTCTCAAGAAGCCGATGCAGATCTTTTGGATTGAATCCTTCAGGAGGGGAATAGTTTTCACAGACTGCAAATGCCTCTGGAAGGGTGAAAAACCTAGAATTAGCTCAAATACTAGTCAAATACAATTACCCACTTCCTAACATTTTTAACCATACCTTTGCCAATGTTAGTGTGATAAAAACTAGCTTAAACACATGCAAATGCAAGGTGTCACGGCTATATTAAACAAGTAGTATTTTTGAAGTTAAATCCAAAAGAGGCTACAGCTATATTAATCAAGTAGTATTTCGAAGTTCATAACTTCATAGACATTTTTTACAAGATATAAAAGCTTCTGTTTAAATCTAATTAATGTGATGAGTGTCAATTCCTATGTGATGTCATGACTGCAAATTCTTAAACACGGTAATTGTCATAATAAAAAAGAAACCATAAAGAGGGAAAAAGTATGCATAGCAAAAAATAGCAAGCATTGAGAAACTAAAAATCCTTACCAATGCTAGAATTGCGGCTGCTTTTTGGTTTTGCAAATGTCACTACAGGAAAGAATAACTTTAGCTGCAAAGCAGAGACGACAGAGGTTGTCATGATGATTTCTAGGGTTATAGAAAAAAATTAAATTCAGAAAAACTATGTAACAAAATAAGACCAGGTAATTTTGAGAGACAATGATAAAACTTTGCCACTTCCCAATTATTTCGTTATGAATATTTGGCAGAAAGTGCAACTGCGAAACAATTTCACAACTCAACTAAAATTTTAGATTGGGTAATGAGTAGGATCAAATTCCAGCCAGACAAAAGGCAAACTCCGTCGTAGAATCGGTTCACAAAATTTATCTTATGTGAGTGCAATTATTTTGTTTATCACGAAGCAACTTAATGGTGTTTCTTTTCTTTCAAAGTACAATCATTTTGTAGAATTTGGGTGTAACTCTTTGAAAAGAATTGTCATTCCTTCTCACACAAAAAAAATACACATTATACGATGTGATCTAACTGCCAAAGTCAGAAATATTATGTGGTATTTGAATTACTTATATTGCTTTCAAAGGTTTGCAACCCTTGTTCATTCTTTAATCATATCACTTGTCTATAGATGTTGACAAAAGCTAACTGAAAGTTGGATGACTGCAAGGCATGAATGTAAAACATACTTGCAGTAATGTCAACTATGCACAAGCACACAAGTCTTAATTTCTAAAATCTCATGATACGGTGAAACTTCAAATACCTGACAATACAGAAGGCTCGTGTCCTTTCCTCTAAATATCTTTGCAATAAACTTTCCTCCTTCCTTAAGTACATGAGTAACAATTGTCAACCCCTGCAAGGATACCAATAAGCATCAATCTGCAACAAAAACCTAACAAGAGAGGCAAATAAAACCATGCAACTCTTTGCTAATCAAGGAGTATACAATTTAATATAGATCATATCCTGTGTATGTTGCTTACTAGACATGAGAGTAGATGGACTGAAAATAGATATCAAGAATCAATTAATCCTTGTTTCTCAACAGGGAAAAGAGAAACAGATTGAGTAATCACTGATTTTATATATCCTTCAAATTTATTTTCATCGCCAGTTTGCAATAGTGATAATGTGAACATAGACTATCCAGATGGAAAAACAATAAAGGGCGCAAACAATAAGAAGGGGACAAAGATTAAATACTTACTGCAAGTATGAGTTGGGATTGTACGAACTCATCCATGTCATGAAGCCCAGTAACTGCAAAAGTCAAAGCTTGATTTCTTAAACTACAAACAAATTAAGAGATTTTGTACGCAGGTATTACAATTGACATAGAATAACAAACGAGAGACAATAATTCAGGCTGGTTGGGTCCTTGATTAAGGTTAAAAACAAAAATGTCAAACTGTATGTAGCTTTTCATAAAAGTAGTTCTCATGTCAAATTGCACTACTTCAAACATAAATATTGTGTTTGAAGAAATTAATCAGTTAAATTGAGCATTTTCTTTACCATCAGGAGCACCATCACAGACAACCAGGTCAGCCTTGCAGCCATCGAAATGTCTAATGACCTGAATAAATCAAGAGAAGGAAGAGGGGCTCACAAACTTAATTCCAATGGTCATTCAAGTAATTTAATTGATGGAAAAAAAAACAGCCTCCAATAAACCAGTTCTTTATAATTCTTTCAAGTTTCAACAAATTGTAGACTCCAGCAGAAACGATTTGTTATGAACATCATGAGACATACTTGTGCATTTTCAATCCATACATACAAACTAAGTTGATTTTGTAAAGCTGGAAATTAAATCTCCTTATTATCACACTATGCATTTCTACCATTCTCTCTAAAACATGCAACATATGCAGACCACAATGTTGATAATGTTTTGTTGAATTGGGTTTATTCTGATTTTGGGGAAATTTGCCCAAGCAATGACAATGGATACATAGGCTTTACAGACAACAATAATGTCTAGCTGTTATTTTACACGAGTGAAAAGTGTGATTTATAGCATGGTTAAGCACTATAAACAAAAAATGTAGTGCTTTTCTTTTCCTCTCTTCCATTTCCATGCTTTGCTCATTGTTATGGTTCTGGTTTATGGTCTGGACTGATGTTCCTTTAACAGAAAGCAGCATATATAGTTGTAATTCAAATGATAGAGAAACAAATATAATAAATGAAACTCGTATGTTTCATTTACATAAAATATTTAAAAGGAAACTATGCAATTTCTCGATGAAATTTGAGGACGCAACAAACTGAGAGACAGGTATATTTTCTATCTCTGCCAAGATATGTAGCTTACTCAACATGTATCCAAAATATTATAAAATTATCCATAAAAAAAATTATGGTAATACTGCTATACGTACCACTTCAGCTGTTCGAGCATTAGTTATATCTCCCTGCACCTGAATGACGCCTTCAATTGGAGCCATTGGTTGCAAATCAATAGCAACAATAAGAGGAAGATTTTCACCGCTGCATACATCATGCAACAAGAAGTTGATGACGTTGATAGAGACAGAGCGATAATACAAGTGATTAAATAGGAGACATTCTTCTATAAAAGAAATAATTTATTTAAGCCCCAAAAATTGAGTTTGGAAGATAGAGAAGAAGAAAAAAAAAAGAAATCACTGAAGGAGAGCTACTCAATCCATCAGCATGTCTGTAAGGGAAACTCCCTTGAAAATCCAAAGGTTTATAAACCATCAAGAAGCCAAATGCCTAATTTATCCCATGTCAGCATTTCATCCAATACAAGCTACATAGAAGATATGAGTTATACTCCAACCAAGTGCCCCAAACTGTAGCGTACATTGTTACCACAACTTTAGCTTCTTTACATCAATTAAAACAATTTAAGCTTCCCAAAATATACGATAAGAAAACCAAGGGGTGGACACTATATTCACCAAAAATGTCAAGCTATGAGTTCATAAAGAAATAGAATTAAAACAATGTAAGAACAGATGATATACTAATTTCTTTCCTTTGTCTTGATGAAAGTCTTATTTTATAATAACAATAAAAATACAGTTATCAGTTGTACGTAATAATGACTAACAAAAATGAAAACATTAAGTTAGATAGAGCTTAATTTCAATCCTGAGTCTTGGCATGAATCTGCAGGTGAGAAACAATGAAGAAAAGCTACTGCCCTGATATGTGTTATGTGAGAGCAAACACTATAGAATTTTCAAAGAAAGCCAACTTACTTTGAATCAGGCGCAAGCTTGGCTGGGAGATACAATTTACGACTCAAAACCTGCATATAAGAACTTAAGTATTGTGCTGGTTATCAAAAAAGACATACGAATGCATGGACTAGACTGCTCTCCCACCCTCTGAACACATGTTTGTTTGTTAAGAGTTTGTATGACATGGCAATTAATATTTCATCACAAGTACCTGACTCCAGCTACCCGGGGCAGCACACAAATCTACAACACGCTTCACTCCTGCAAAAAATAAAAAATTAATCTCGAAACAGTGTCTCAGCGGAAAAAATATTCAACAAACCCAAAAGGCCAAATACAGACTTTTGTGGAGAAAGACAGACATCCCACCTTCAAAAATGTTGAATTCCTCATCTATCTGAAGGAGTTTAAAGGCACTTCGAGCACGCCAACCTTCCTCTTTTGCTTTGCGATAATAGATATCCTGAAAACCAATTTACCTAAGCATGAATGCACCCTAAAAAAGAACACTCATGTAGGATAAAAACCAAACACACACCCTCTTATCCCTTGAAGCTCTCCCCATACTCTATCGTTCACTTGCCCTGCCACAGATTACGCAAAACAAGTCCCTGACACCAACAATTGCCAAAAGAAATTAGAACATGCAACTGAAATAAAAACAAGAAATTTAAAAAGAATAAAATAAAAGTTTTTTTCCATCCTTTTAGCCATTTTTTCAAACACCTGGTGCACATACAGAAAATCCTCCTTTCACATTTACATTACATAGCTTAAAAGCCCCTAAATTTTAATCCCCAGAAAATCACAACTTACATGGACTCAGAATTTTACAATCCTAATATTGAAAAGAAAACCATGCACCTTTTAACTTGAACGATCCAACGATCACCTCTCCAACCATACAGCACATTCACTAGTTACCTAGGTTATGTTATATATTAAATATATATGCCCGTAGCCGAATTGGATAATATTGCAACAGTAACCGGGTCAACCCGTGTTCAGAGCCTATGCCGGCTCAGAATCTGAATCAAATAGCAATTCGCGCTCAACAACAACTCGTCACAAACCCTAAACCCCAATTGTTGAACCCTTTAATATCACTCCTCACGAATTCTAAAAATGTATTCTTTCACCTCCACAACCAAATGCCTTACACGGTTTCTCCCAGAACCACTACGCCTTCACCAACGCCCTCAAGGCCTGCTCCTCCCACCACTCTCGCTCCAAAGCACTCGAAATCCACGCGTGTCTCCTCATTTCGGGTCACTACCTCGACATCTTCATCCAGAATTCTCTCCTCCTCCCTCTTCTACCTCGCCAACTAAGGTGTTGTCTCCGCCTCAAACCTCTTCTGATAAATTTCCTCACCCGATGTCGTTTCACGGAGCTCACTAATCGGGCGTCGCGCAGTCGGGCTTCGAGGCCTAAGCTCTTCACTATTTTTCCAAAATTAACTCGATGCCCAAAATTGACAAACCCAATGCAGTCGCGCCCACGAGGGTGACTGCATTGGGTTTGTCAAAATTAACTCGATGCCCAAAATTGACAAACCCAATGCAGTCACCCTCGTGGGCGCGTTGTGCGCTTGTTCATCTCTCAGGGCTCTGAGACTCGGCAAGTCCGTTGACGCTTACGGCGTGACGTTGATTGCCAGCGCCAATGTTGTTTTTGACAACACGGTGTCGGACCTGTATGCAAAGAATGGGTCTTTGAAATATGCCAAGAGCCTGTTTGATAAAATGTCTATGAGGGACATGATTTCTTGGACCACTTTGATGGGTTACGCTGCGACGAGGCTTTTGATGTGTTAAAACGAATAGTGCAGAAACAGAGCCTAAGGAGGCAACAATGGCGTGTGCTCCTGTTGCGGCATTGGGTTTGGGGCGGTGAGTGCATTCATATATTGACTGACGACACGACCTTGTGGTAGATGGAAATATCAGGAATGCTTTGCTAAACATGTATGTGAAGCGTGGAGACATTGCAAGTGGGGTTTAGAATTTTGACATGATTATGAACAAGGATGTTATCTCCTGGGGCATTGTGATCTGTAGCCTTGCCATGAACAGTTATGGGAAAAGAACATTGGAGCTATTTTCATGCATGTTGATTGAAGGGGTTGAGCCTGATGATGTTACTTCTGTTTGGGTGCTATCTGCATGCAGCCATGCGGGTTGGTGAATAAAGGGTTATGTTTTTCAAAACAATAAGGAACTTTTATGGCATTGTGCCACGGATGAGGCATTCTGGTTGCGTGGTGGGTATGTTTGGACGTAGTAGTTTGTTTGTGGAAGCTGAGGCTTTCCTTACAAGCATACCTATTGAAGCTGAATGGCGTGTCTGGGGCTCTTCTTCAGACATGTAAAATTTAGGGTAATGAAAAGATGTCTGAATGGATAACGGGACATCTCAAGGGGAAAAGTGCTGGTGTTGATACTCTTCCTTTGCTATCTAACATGTATGCCAGTTCTGAGCGATGGGATGATGCTAATAAGGTTGTGAAGAGTACTGGAGTGAAGAAAGTCGCTGGATGTAGCTGGGTAGAGCTTGAAGTGTACAATAACAGATATTCGCATGTGTGTGCTGCCTGGTGAGGAGGATAAGGGAGGATCAATGAAGTTTTCACATGGAGAATGGTACCAACAATGATGTAACCTCTTAACCTCCTGAGGTTGACATTGAGTACCGGTCTAATTACTCTGTTCATATGTAGAATCGATTTGTGATTTATCTCAATTTGCAGTTCCAGCAGAGCAGTATTCCGCCAATTTTCTCCTTTATTTTACTTTCTGGAACTTTTGCACGGAATTCATTCAGCTGAAAAAATTCTACACGAATTCGAAATAAAATTTCGTTATTTTTTTTTTCTCTGACACTTGAGTATGATATGACTCATTGTCGTCTCATCAAATTCCATTAGGACGTGAATGGATGCACCATCCCTTCAGTTTAATTGGTGACAAGTTAAGGATGAAATATACGTGAGAGTTATAATGGTCGACCTGAGAATGAAAGTCGGCTGAATTGGAAGTAAAATGTATGAAGAATCTTATGAGCAAGCTATATGTATATTTTTTGTTTCTTGTTAAAACTCCTGCACCATTGTAATAAAGAAAGGCAAAATGTGATGGATCAAAGCCCTGATTTGCAAGGACAGCTCCTTTGACGAGGGGTATTTCTGCAAAATTCAAAGATTGAAACAGGGTTAACGTCTAAAATCACAAAGCAAGAGACCTGTCTAGGAAAAACACAAACTAGCTCCATATTTTTATTCTTGTTTTTTTAAAGAAAAGGATACATTTTATTTCTAGACACAATTAAATATTTAAAAGCACGATTTTATCAACAATTTTTATAAAACTTTAAACTTACACCTAAAACTAAAATATATGCTAATTCTAGAAAATTACTAACTCTATAAAACTAAAAAGGAATTTTATTAAAGAAAAAAAAAGACAAAAAGAAAAACGTTAACTCATACAGAAAAGGTGAAAAAAAAAAATTGTAACTTTTGGATCAATATTTTACACTTTCAATTTCGCCCTTAATTATTAGGCTCTATCCATCTGTTATTAAAATTGGTCAAGGTCAATACTATGTTCAATAGTGTATCTCGTGTGCGCATCCATTGGGTTTAGAAATCACCTAATAAAAGGTTTAACTTAAAATACTATTCACACATTCAAGTACTACTTTGTAGTTTAATTAAATGGGAACTTGAAATTTTGTAGTTTAATCAAAAATTGCAAAATTTAACTATGCTGTCATATCATAACTAAAAGAAAACTCACTCGATTTAGCATGATTCAATTACATAAACCAAAACTACAATTAAACTAAACTAAGCAAATTAATTTCACCAGTTGTATGTAAACTAACTTACCTACTTCCTAAAAAAAATCACAATATGGTTACCTATATTAACTCATTATAAAGATAAAACAAAACTATTTGTCGATAATTGTAAAACAAAAATTGTTAAAAAAAACTACACCAACTAAAATAAAGATATTATAAACTAGACTATATTAGGCTTAAAAAGGAAATGGACATGGAATGAGTATAATCTCATGTTTCATAAAAATCAGAGCTCAAAGGAGTAATATCAGTTTTAGTATATTTCACATTTTATTAATCTGGTTTTCTTTTTCTCACCAACTTAATGTTGTAAGATGATTTTGGTGTTTGAACAGTGATAGAAGAGGCTTTGGACAAATTGGAAGAAAAACAAACTCAAGTAACAGAAAAGCTAAAGAGGAGTATCATGAGATTGTAGAGCCCAATGTTTTTAGAGAAACCCCTAAAGTGTGGTCAAGAAAATGAAACCTATTTTTTAGAGAAGACAACCTTGGGATCCAAAAATAAAATGACAAGTCTAGTTAAGTGTTAATAATTAGTTGTTTATTTTTTATATAATTAATAATTTGTGTTACTAAATACCCTTTTTTTAATTATTTTATTTTTTTTTCATCTTCTAATAAATATTGTTATTTTTTAAAAAATGATAAATATATATTTTATTTCATAAAAGAGGGTTTTAAATGATTTTTATGCTGGAAATAACTATATAATTTATCTATTTAAATATAAGTACTAAATACACTTCCTTAATATTTATTAAAAACGTGAAATCTAACTTTATTTTAAAATATTATTTGTTTTATGAAATTTCTACTCATTTATATATTATAAATTAATTTTATTTTTAATTGATTTATAGCTTTCAATTAATTAACTAAACAGGTCAATTTAATTCGTTTAAATCTAGTTTAATATTTGTTCGTCCAAAATCAGACGAGTCTGGTTAACATGTTGAAAACAGATTTACTTTTACAATTCAATCTAATCCACTGTCTTTTTTTTCATTAAAATTATAATATCATATTGGAACGGCTGATTTTTTTTTCTTTTCATATAAAAACATACTGATGTTATGAATATTTTTTATAAGCGTGTTTCTTGAGATAAATTTTCGTAGTATGGTTTATTTTAATAATTATTTTTACCATAAAAATATAAACTTAAATGTTTACTTCGTTCTCATGTTAAGAGGTGAATTTCTTTTTAATATCCCGTTTTAAAAATGAAATGAGAAGTATATGAATAAAGTCTACATCAGCATGGACTTAACGTCGTACGTCGTTGCTGTCAACTTAACGAACAAGACCTTATTCATACATTTTTCATAACATAGGACCCAATGTTTTCATTTTTAAAATCAGATATTAAACAGAAATTCACTTCTTAACACGAGGACGAAAAAAGCATTTAAGCCTAAAAATATATGTGTAAGTGTATGTCTTTTCACCTATCCATATAATAAAGTAATATAATTATGAAAATGATTATTTAATTATGTTTTTGTCAATACTTTGCCGTCAAAATATAGAAACTAGTTTTTCTTCAATATCAAAATATACACTTCTACACAAATAAAAAACCTCTTATATATGTTTAATTTAAAATATATGGGAAAACATAAATAAGTGTATATATTATTCACATTGTGGCTAAAAAAATATTCATTGAATTAGTATATTTCTTAAGAACATGTCTAATATAATAAAAAAAAACAAAAAAAAAGAACCCTTTTTATATTTCATCTTCTTTATTATTGTCACCATAACTAATTTTGTATTGGATACAATGTATACCAAACGGTTATTAATTGTTAACCGTTCGGTGAACACAACAACAATGGTCAACAGGTAATCAATTAAGGTCAATCAGGTCGAATGGTTTTTGGGCTAACGTTTAAGTAATTGGGTTAAGAGTTCACTAGAAGATAAAATAATCAAAAGAATAATTAAGAATATCTAATTGAAGATCTGATTAAAGATATTGATAAGTGCTTAAAATATTGATAAAATCGTTTATGAGTAACTAACTAGATTTCCAGGTAAGGTTGTTTTAATTTGGCTTATGAAACGTTTATAAATACAATTACAGAGCCAAATGTCATAGCCAAATGTCACGTACTTTCAACAAAGACTCCAT